TCGTGAACGTTTGCTGCAACTTCGTCATCGAGAGCATGCCTGTTGATAAGTGCCACAGGCACTGTTCTTTGCCAATTGTTGTCGAAGACAATGTACGCAGTCTAACGAAAGTGACAATTTGTACTATTGTGAGGCTGCCGGCGACCATTCTGTTTGTGCTGGTTGTCAAGAGAGTACAGTCGGTATTCACGTCGCGTCACATTCTCTGCGTATTTAGCTAACTAAACAAGTTGGTTTTCCTACCAAAAAGTTCACGTAGCCATGAGGGAGGAACCGAATAATCAGACTTTGTCAACTACTATGGAGTCTTACTCGTGGAGGGATAGAAAAATCAACTTGGTAACTTTAATGGTGATAGAGGAAATTACAAGCGTATAAACTACATCTGGTGGAATTTTCGTCTCCATGAAACAGGTTAGCTTTTTATGATGGCATGGATTCATCGTGCACAAAATATGCATTCGACAAACTCGCCTTACAGCAACACAAAATGTCACCACTTTCATGTATTGATGAGGAGGCAATTTAATCTGTAGGCTAGGTGAACAATTGCGAATGTAGTTCGTGGTCGCGTAGATAGGGCGTCACAGTGTGGACGGCATGTGCACGATGAAAATGCAGGGCGACACTGCCATACTAATTCGGCGAAGGTTCCACTTTCATTGCACGCCGCCGATGTGAAGGTGTTGTGATGTGAGCACGGAATGGCCAATAAGTGAACAAACTAGAAACCTTCGAACCGGTGTCCGAACTTGAGAATTTCTTCCATGATATTCATTAGCGACACTTACACCTAGGACGCTCCATGTCTTGGTCTAATTTGACGTCAATCAATTAAAATCTTGGTTGTGAGTCGTAACGGAAGTTGGAGGGTTGAAGTCACCGGTCATGTATCCAATGCGTTGTCATAAAATGGCAATTTGCGGTATGACGAATCAAGTTTGATGTCAACAACCGCGGCACAGTTGTGAAAGGTGATCCGAAGACAGCTCGAATGGTTGATGCATGCGTGTTGCTCGCATCATTCGTTCGCAAAAAAATATTTCAATGTTTTGACTTGACAGACGCTGTATTTGTGCCTTTCGACCAGTCGTTCTGCTTGCCTGTTTAAGGCGCATGAACTTTGGGAACCTAGTCGGGTCCGATCTGAATCCAGCCAAACAGTTCATTAGCGGCACTGTTGGAAGGTTGGACGAACGGTCTTGAGTCTTGACTGCATCGAATTACAGGTCACATTTTAGCTGCTAAAACCATAACATACCACAGTGTGCTTAGGGCACTGCAGGGTGAGTGGCCATGACTTGAGAAAAACAAAGGCGCATACAAAAGAGCATTCACAAAAGCGCTGGTTGTTCATAGTTGCAAGCAGTAGAAGAAACGTCCACTTTACCAAGAGATTTCTGCAGTTAGATATGCGGTCAACGGCCACGTTATGAAATCATTCACTCAATTGTGGGTTTCTCAAAGTCGACTTGTAGAGGTAGTCATTTACTCTAACCAAAGATCGATCAGATAAACCCAGGTGTCAGTAGTCATCTACCCCGATGGAAACAGCACGCAGGGCTTCTGCTCAGTGCAGGCCAAACTTGAGTTCGCACTTTGAGGGTCCACATGGTGCTCGAACGGTGGAATTTGCGTTTTTGATGCTAGGTGAGTTGGCCTCTTAATATTTTGCGCAATGTCAGTCGCATTAGCAACCTCTAGCCTACATTTCTACTCAACTAGCGAAGACGCATGACATTCTTACCAAGCTGTGAGTTGTGTCTGGATTTTGCTAAAATGTTCATCAGCGATGCTTACGTGATCGAAATGTTGTTGGACGCGTAGTGTTGAGTTGCCAATGCATTCAATCGAAGAGCCCATTGGAGCGGCAAATACCCATGTGTCAGGACGCGTGTTACCTCCAGTTTGATTAATCGCTCAGGTCGCAAAACGCCATAATTCGTCATTAAACTCCTTGGTTTGCATTTACAATGCAGTGTCGGTGGCTATGACTTTAGACAAACAGAGAGAGATTTAGCGTGCGCTATTAGTGATATGAAATCACGACGTTTCGATCCGCGTAGACACGACTCCGTCACACATCGTGGCTGCACGCATAAATTTTCGTCAAATCTGTCTCCTAAATTTACATCTTTCCTCAACAAAGCACCACTGAATTGGGTCCCCTCTCAAATTACTGGTCCATTCCCCTTCTCTTAGCCTTTAATTTAATTCGCTTGAACAATGCAAAATGTACAGGTTCCTCTAGTTTGATTCCACGACTTGCACTTGCGATTCTTGCTCTGTGGCACTCAAACATCGTTCACTCAGTCAGTAGGTCTGCACCACACATGCTTTAATGTCCGGATTCGATCGAAAATCGGATTGCAGGTAATCTTGGCTCGTGCTAAAAGTTCACGAGGATGAGCACGTGCGCGTCTGTTCCAGCATCACTGGCATTTGAGACGATTAACCTCACCGAGCAAACAGGCACTAAACCGAAGATGTGTTGTCGTAAACAACATTAGATGCCTCGAATAGGGAAAACGTGTGCTAACAATTTAGTTCTATTTCAATGCTATGTTGATTAAAATGAGTCCGTTTCACCCCGAACGTCTGACTGTGCTTTTAGTGCACTTTCGACAAACAGGCAGAGCTGTGGTCGACGGACTGTATTCCGCTGATGTCGAGGTGGCGCAAGCTAGGAGACGTGGGCACAACGACAAGTTTGCCAAGCTTCACGATGCCGCCCGTAACACAGGGCGACGTGCGTCGCATTGAAATGCGCCAACGTGCAAACACTCAAATGATAATGAAAAACGGAAAATCACTAAAATCTAGAAAGGCCTTTTCTAGGAGATGCCGCACCCACAACACCAACACAGTGCACACTGAGCAGTTGGTAGGCTCTCATCGCTTTGCACACCCAATTTATGAATCAGCTTTCTTAACTTCCTCAACAACACCTGCAACCACTAAAGCAACATCAACAGAAGTAGCAGCAGCCACTGTTTTCCACAATTTCCCTCCACGGCTGGCGCCTCACAACAATCAGTGCCCTCGTTGTGTGTCGACCTCTACCACCTAGGTGCGATCAATTCGGGCGCCACCGGTGGTGCAGGATCTCTTTCAAACCTCCCTTCAGCACCTCAAATCATGAAACCGCATTAGCCAGAATTAAGTTAATGCGATCAGCGAGTGAGCGTAGTTTGCAGGCATGAGCGAACAACAAATCAGCTTATCTACTTGAATGCTCTTTGCGTAGCTATGTTCGTATTAGACGCTAGTATTAGGCACTCATATATAAGCTGAGTGCCTATTCTTCTGTACACCAACGCCACTTCCGTACCGATAAATCGGTTGAACTTTACGTCATCTTCAGTCTTGTCACTTGCTCTTCGTCGTCCTTGTCAGCGTAGGTTGACTAGCGCCAGTGCATTCTTAAACCACAGTGGGAACACCTAAATATGCATTCTACGTTTGTCCCGAAGATCCCTTAATAGTTTTTAATTACGGTTGTTAACTTTGGCTTCACCTTTGTCGATTGTAGGATATGCAGTGGTCGCATATTCAGCAGCCAGCACCCGAAATCGAAAGCCAGGAGTACATTCCACCTGAGGCCTCCGATGAAGTCATCCGCGATAAAATTTGCTTCATCTTGCACACTGTGTCGCAGGCTACTGCCGAGGAGAAATCGAAAGAGCTATGCGGACTGCTGCAGGAGTCCATGCTGCCATGGTTCGCCTACTACCTGGTATGCGAGCGCATTATGGTGCAGCAGTCTTATTTCAACATCTTCGCCTCCTTCATTGACGATATCCAGGCCAAACTTCCCCACGGCCGCCCACGTGTTTTGTTTGAGTTGATACGCAATATTAAGGTAGGTAACGCTTCTTCTTCTTCTTCTTCCTTACTTCTTCTTCCTCTTCTTCTTTGTCTTCTTCTTTTTCCTTTTCTTCTCGTGTTCTTCTCAGGCTATTTAAAATTTGTGCTTCGATGCTTTATCGGCTTGGGTTAATGAGTTTGCGCTTAAACATGCGCGTATTGCAGGCCATCCTACGAAACATTAGAACCGACATAGACGACACACAGTCTCGATCGGCACTAAAGAACCTTGGACGATTCTTGGGGATATTCACCCTAGCCCGTAATAAAGCTATCGTCCATGACGACCTGAATATCAAGGACCTCATCTACGAGGCCTACTACAAGGGTTCTCTCGCCTTGTTCTACGTTATCCCTTTCGCCAGTAACGTTGTGTGTGGAGCTCTCGACGGCCTTGCTTTCCGTCCACGCAGTCCCTATACAATGGCCATCCTCAAAGTTCTTCGTGAGCTTTACGATATGCGCGACGTTGAAGATAGGATTAAAGGCCAAGTAAGTTCTTCGGTCACTACTACGTGATTTTGCGCATTTAAACGCCTTCAGTGTCGGCGTTAATCCATGCCTGTTTTGTGATATTGACGTAGCCGTGTCCTGGTGCTGATATCCGTTTTGTGTTCGTCTCTTTTTGCCTAACACAATGTGCGCTTGCACCGATGATGATAAATTCCTGCGTCTGCTGCCTTCGACGTTGAACTACTTGTTTCACGTGAGACACAAATCAAGCCCATATCCTTGAAATGACCTAACAAGCAATGACGCTGTCTCCTTTGCTCGTGCTGTTACAACGACATGCAAGTTTAATGTTGTGTGCATGCTGTGGTGGGGCAGGAGCAATCAAACGCCCCATGCTTACAAAGTCCCTCTACATGGCTGTCAGGTCACAAACCACGTAATTAGCTCATCTACATGAGGCTGTTTTCGTTTCGTTGAAACACAAGTTCATTTGAGCCCCATCTTATCTCTCTAGATCGAGATTCTCTTCAAGGAATTTCGTTTCACATTAAACGAAGTCCCTGCTGCTGAATATCTGCGTAATCCCAGCCACTTCGAAAACCTGGACACGCAGCTGATTTTTTTTTTTGCGTCGTCAGCCGGTGGTGGCGGTGATGCGAATCTGCCCCTTCCAGCCACCGCGAATCAGGCGAAAGAACAGGAACAGCAGAGCGTGAGTTCGCGTTGTCATCTGACACACCTCTTTCTTGTTGCATTGTTCTGTGACCTACCTGCACTCGCTTGAATAAACGCACTTCCCTGTGTAACGAACGAGGGGAGCATTGCACATAAGAACGAGTGATGAGCCCTTTTCTAGCACCTGAGATGCATCGGTGTCACCCAGACAAGTCTTTTCCTTTCCACCTCGGTAGGCTCTCGTCGCCTCGCAGACCGTTGAACCCACTGTCCACATTTCACAACTAGCGCTGCCTTCAGTATCTGTCGCTGCCTACAACGTGAGTGCTGCCACCTCGGGTGCCATCGGTGGCACTGGATCCACTTCCCATGTCGTATCAGCGACGCAGATAATGAATCCTCACCAATTTAGAGGTACCCTAAGGCATTCACTCTCCTTTTACGCATTCATACTTTCGTCCTTACTTAATGTCTCGCAGACCATTTGTTTTTTTTTCAAATTCACCAAATGCACCATTCAGTTTTGCCACCTAAACCATCCCATGACCTATTTCTCTTGATAGACGTTGCACAGTCTGTGTCACTCTGCAGTGCAGGCGGCCTGCTTCTACGATACGAGGACGTAGACCTCGAAGCAGTGCGTTCGTGTATCAACACCGACAACCTAATTGAAGAGATTACTTCCTATTCGCAGTCTGTACACTGTTACGTAAGTTGTGGCCGCGTGGCTTCTCGGGACGCGGCAGTTGCAGTGTCAGCTGCAACTCTCTTGCGCTCGGAACCGGCGATTTGCCAGCTCATCCTACCAGCCATCGAGGTGGCAGCCAATGAACTCATCACGCCACTCTTTGAGCAATGTCGCCACGTTACCGTGCCCATGGTGGAAGCCAGGGTGAGAAAGGACTTCGCCCTGCAACCAGATCCAGCTCAGATACTACGTGCTGCCAGGCAGATGATGCGTCACCTCGCCGCCAATGTGTCGCATATCAACTTTCATAAAGACGTCTCTGAACACCTTGTCAACAAAGTCACAAACCTCATTTGGAACAGTCTGATAACCGCAAGCCAACAGGAGAAGGAGATGGTGGAGTTCATTGTGAAATTCGTTTTAAGCAGATCAATATTCCTGTGTATAGCGTACATAGAAAAGGCCGTGGCTGAGCGAGTAAGTAGAGAAGTGGAAAAGAATCTTGAACCGGATGTGATGATGCGTCAGGAATTGGGACCTCAGAGGTTCCTGGAACAGGTCACCGCCAATTATCAGAACCTGCCAGAAAGCATGCAAGCACACGTGAGTTTTAAACAGCCCTAGAGAGCTTCGCCAATATGTGCAAAAGAGTTCTAACACTATCATTAACAACCTTCAGCGTTGTTTGAAAATGCTTGACTTTTGATCTCGTATATCCCTTTAGCCATATGTTCTTCAACCATTGCCTCCACCATCCTACGAGGAGTTCAAACAATCGGACCCTGGATTTGCTTCGTCGACTACTTTCCTGTCTCCTGGCCACATCGTCCCAGCACAACCGTCCTCCCAGACCCAACAGCAGATTGTGCGACGTGCTACTGGTGTACTGACCCAACAACCGACGCCCAACACCGTCACTATGCGCTCAACACAACATCAACGGCAGCAGCAGCAGCAGTTGCAAGAAATGGCTCTAGCATTTGCTGGGCAACTGCAACTGCAACAACGCCAACCCGAGGCTCAGCAGCAATATCTCCAACGACATTCCAGTACTTCCGCAACCTCACATCAGGTACTCAAAGTCAACTCAATGTGTAATGGGTCTGTCTAATTAAGCATTTTGTCCATTTCATAATCACCATCTCACTCCGCACCAACATTATTTACCTGATGTGTGGTCAGAAACAGTCTGATGGTGGATTTCGGAGTTTCAATGGCTCTATTTTTAGCGACCGGGGTATCCAACTGTCCCGCGGGGCTTTGAACGATCGCTACTTGGATTTCCGTCATCGACTTCTTTGCTGTCTCATGGCCGCATCGTCCCTGCACAACCCTCCTCCCACACCCAACAGCAGATTGTGCGACGTGCTACTGGTATGCTGACTCAACAACCGACGCCGAAC